TCATCCCCTTTTTTTTTTTTTTTTTTTTTTTTTTTGTGCCCATTTGCCTACCAACACTTTCTCGATTCTGTCGCACGGAGCTTACCTAACGTAGTTTACCCGAATGATGTGATTTGAAAGCTATTGCGATAACACTTAACCCAAGAATTTACTCAATGCGTATTCAATAAGTAGCGGCTGTGAATTGCCCGTTATAAAAATAATAATAATAAGAGACGTCATCTTTTTGTGTGGTTAAACGGTTTCTTTCAACATGGAGCTCCGCAGAGGTGTCTTCGTCGTACCCCAGATCTTATTTTAATATATTCCTCGTCTTTAACTTTTGTGGTTAATTTTAGAGAATTTCACAAGGATAATTTTGGGTTACTGTAAATGTATAATTCCTTATACTACTGGGTGTTTAGCTTGAGCAAATTTATGGTACTAACTAGAATTAATGTTTCTGCTCTGTTGAATAAATTATAAGCAATCAAAATTGTTGTCGGTGGATTTGTCATTACTTTCTGTTGTAAAATTGTAGGTTTTCTTTTCTGTAAATGGGGATTCTCTTATTTTGCTTTTGTTCTGTATTCAATGCACATTGTGATGGTAGTGGGTTGTTAATTATGCGTAATTTGGTGCTTCAAGTACTTGATTTCTTAGAGCATCTTCAATGCAAAAATGTGCATTGTTCTATGTGAGAAGCAAAATGAGAATGGAGAGGAGCATATCTCCAATGGGGCTGTGGGGTCATAAGAGAGAGGATGTTGAGAAAGAGTAAAGCATAAAAAATTAAACATTCCTTCCGTGAAAATAAATTATAAAAAGTTTGCAAGCTATTGCGTCAACCTGAGGGTTTATCCAGCGCGCACCCTTTTTCCTAGCCATTTAAGCATTTGGGGGGGACGTGACAAACTAAAATTGGTGCAATCCATAGCCACATTGGAGATGCTCTTATACTACCAAAGAAGAAATTGTAACTTTTTAATAACTTCTCTTACAATCTCAATTCTCTAATTAAATTATGCTGGATGTTGGAATGTAAAGCAATATGGTTGTGTAGATTTAAGTAGTTTTTAGTTTTTACAGTAATTTGAAATCATGTTTCTTATCAATTGAAATATAATGCGATTTTAATGACACGCGTTAAAATTTCATCTGTGTATTATTTAGTGTGATTGTATGCTAAGTACTTTAAGATCATCAAATTTGGAAATCGATGAGTTTTTTGCTTTAACCTCTTAATCTAGACTAGTTGCGCTGAATTTATATGACTTGTTAGTAAGTTTGAAAATATTAATTTCTATAACTTGGCATCTTGAATAACCTTCGGGATTTCTGAATTTGGAAATAATCATTTCTCTACAGGGTTTGGTTGATGCCACCCAATATCTCGACTTCTATTGTTTATGTAAAAGATTTTATTCTGTGTATAGACCCCTTTTCCTTTACCCATCTGAAAACTTGCAGAAGAAAAAAATAATGAACTTGTTTGGAAAGGGGTATTCAACTGCTGAAAATAATTTTGAGTACTGCAAAAGCAACAAATTTGAATCAGAATGCAGCAGAATTTGTTCCTTTTTGATGTGATCCATGGCACGAAGACAAGTCTGGATAAGGATTCATTGATAGTTGAAGAAGGGCCCATGATTAGGTCACGAGCGAAGAGGATTAAAGAAGCGATAGAACCACTTGCTCAAGCCACGGTGGACGAAATATTGATCATTGCAAGCAAAGAAACAAGACTCGTGTTGGACTCAAAAGAAGAAACACGATGGATCAACATGGTTCAAGCGATTGACAGAGGAGCTGAATTGGGTGCTTATTTTTTACTGCATAGTGCAAGATTACATGCGGCCACATGTAACCAGGCAGAAAATCCAGTTGAAGAGTTCTATGCGATCCCATGCATGAAAATTTTCAAAATTCACGAAATCTCCTAGTTCAAACTCTATATTTTTGATATATATATATATATATATATATATATAACCGGTACTTAGCTTATGTTAAGTACCGGCAACATGACATAGAATTTAATTAGTAAATCATTAAATTCATGGATCTACCATTAATATATTCACTGATCAATTGATGTGTCATGTCATCAATAACCGGTGCTCATTAGATCATTTCCACACACACACACACAAACAACACACACATATATATCCTATTAAAATTCTAAATTTTTATTTAAAAAATAATTATTCTCATTCACATCAATTACAATATCGTTCTTATTAAATTGATTCATTTAAACAATATACATCAGCACCATTTTTATATATCTATCCCATTATAATTTCAATCCTTTTATTTTTCTGTCTACACAATTTTTATATATCTATACGTCTATAGCATTTTCTATATATCTAGTGGATGAAAGTATAGTCGATGGTTTCCCAGCAAATGATTTTTAGAGTTGAGTAAGGCCAATAAGAGAGTATTAACTTTCAGTACATGCCAACTGAGATTCATATAATTATATCCAGTTCGAAATCCTTTTGAATTAATTCTGAATTTATCAAGATTTATTTCTTATGACGTTCATACGGTCCAGGTGAGATTTTGAATATTGTGATTACAGGGTCAACATATTGTCGACCATTGTATCGGTTCTTTGGTTCAATAATTTTTTGGATCAAACTCTAAACATTGATTCTTGACTTTCTTGGATTTGAATCAATCGTATGTGGGTTTTGTAACTACTATTGCTCCGTGGGTTCGCATCACTTTTGCTCTCATGTCTACAGGCACAACTGCATAAGCAATGCAGATGCATAGTCAAAGTTTTCTACCTCTACCACTGCAACACCGGGAAAAGCGGTCTTACTTAGTATTCCGTTTCGAATAACTCAGATGAAGAGGCCCACCTATACTGGAACAACCAGCTCCCTGATGACATTTCTCCCAACTTTAAAGTTATGGGAGATGATACTCAATGTGTCGACAGCCTATCCTTTTTAGGCTTATCCTTAACCGATGCTAGTGAAAGCTTGAGAGACTCAAGAGGCAGTAACTTTATGTTGAAGGAATGGCAGGAATTATGTCCTCAATCTATGAATGGTAACAGCTATACTGCAAAGCTGAGGCATCCTGTATCATCGAACAGGAAATATCCATCACCTACAGGTTTCCAGCATTCATTACCTCGGAACAAGAAAATTGTCAACAATGACAAGTTTCTTGCCAGTATTAGGAAGGGGCCTACTACTGGTGAAAATTTGAGATGCAGTTTCCTGGCTGACATGCCAAATGAGCAGTTATTAATGGACTGTACAGAAGCAAAGTCTCTTGACTTTCTGGCTTCACAATTCCTTGGTTTAACTGCTGAAGCCTTGCTGAGGTATATTTTGCCAATAGTAGCGATTTGAACCTAACAATCGAGTTTTTTTCTCGGCTTGAGGTATCCTCTATATTCTCGGTGTTGGGTTTTTTGATACCCAATAAATTCCGGGTTATGATGTTAACGTGGGTTAATATTATTTCATAGGCATAGGCCGATGAATGAAATAAGTCCAACAACCAAGTCCATGAGCTACACCCGGCCCAATTGTATTCCTTATGGATAGCTTGAATCTTGGCCCATTTACCCCTTTAATGGCCCAACTTAAAGCCTAACCCTAGAGTATATATATGAATATAACCCTAGCCTCTTTGTGATGATGATTGTGTGATTTTGAGAGAAGAAACTAGTGAATCCCGGCTGCCCCCCCTTTTGTGTGAAAAAAGGTGTCCAGAAGTGTTCAAAACGCCTGTATAACGTGTGCAATTGGTAGTTCTTTCATAGTATACCTTTGTGGTGTCTTCTCCTAGCCTTTGTGGCCATAAATCATCATCCCTTCTTGTCCTACGTGGGTAAGATTGTATAGCAACCA